ACTCTTTCTTTTAATTCCTCTTTTGGAAATGTCCATATGAGACACTAGTAATTTATCAACAGATTAAAAATATTTTTGTAATTATCTGTCAATGTAAATTGCAAAGCTCCTTTGGAAATCCTTTTGTTGATTTGGCCACTTAAATACATTACAGTGAGAAAGATGAGGGTTGCCTAATGTCAGTAAGATAAGCTTCCTGCCTTGAAACTGTTTAGATTTGATTGCATTGCATTATAGAATGCATCATTACTAGTTTAATCTCTCAAAGGTTTTCAGCTGCTGTTTTATTTAGCTATACCGAATACACTGCCTACAGCAACTCTGGGCAATGATTCCCCCAGTGGCATGCATGAGCTGCCCTGCTCTACTGCAAAAATACATTATGGCTGAATTTGCCCTGAGAGTTTGGAAAGATCTAAGGTCTTTGGAGACTAAAAATGTGTTTTTTCTTTGTTTTAGCTGGCACTATGAGCCTCTGGCATTTTAAAGTGCAAGTCATTAGCATCCACAAGGGTGATGTTAATATGTCTGTGTTTCAATCTCAGGACATTTTCCAGTTGTTTCTGCCACAACAATCTCTGCCATCTCAGTGCTTTTTAAGCCCCATGTGAATTAAAGGAAGCTTTGCAATGCCAGCAGGAATCACTGTAGACTTCAGCTGAAACCAGTTGCTACCTGACTTACTCTTTGCAGTAGATGCCACTGAGGTTGAAAGTCACTGTCATCCAGCGCTACTGGGGGAAAAAAAGAGATGTAATGCTTAATAACATTAAAGTAGACTAAATGTAAAGCTGAGAAATTTTGGAAAATTTGCAATGGCTAGTTTGCAGTGGCTGGGTTTTTATTTTAAATTTTCCTGAGCTTAGGTTGATTTTTTTTTGTGAAATCCTCCATGCAATTCATAATGCAAAGAAAAATACAACAGCAGAGCAGCCAGAAATAAAAGAAAAATAAATAGTGGATCAATTGGATGTAGTCCAGAGAGCAGCCTGAGGGACCAGATGACAGTCATAATTGAGGCAAGGGATGGAATCTGTGAAGGAAAGGGAATGTCATGTGGGAAATGCAATGAGGCAACAGAGGGCCTTTCACCCATCCTGTAACAGCTGAGTATAGATGACAAGCATGTTTGGTCAATTGCTGCTTGCTTTAACCAGCAGGGACATAAATATTCCCCCTTCCCTTTTAGAGTACTTTACTGTATTCCCTTCAGTTCCCAGCTCAGTCATAATCTTCTTTCCCATGACCAAAAGAAATGTAACCTAAACAGCATGGGGGAAGGAAAGAGAAAGGAGGTGTGAATATTAACACAGACAAAAACAAAACCACAAACATTTTGGCTATTATTGCCATTTCCATTTTGGCTATTATTGCCATTTCCTGGCCTTTTATTTAGGCCTCAAGACCACTAAGGCTCTTAAGCACTGGTATGGTGCCAAGTTAATTATTCAAAAATGAGGGCCTGCGGTGGCACGTTATAAGGTTTCATCAGCCTTTATTGCCCATCCATGGCACACAAAAATGAGGACCAGAGAAGAGATTTAAAGGAGAGCAAAACAAAAGAAAACTAGATTTCTTTAATTGGTTTGCAGCATCTCTCTCTTTAAAGGACTCCCCTTCCCAAACGTATCATGAGTAACACAGCTGGCATTTAATGTACTCTGCAGATGGGTCTTCATTGACACAAATACAAGTGTGAATACAAAGTGGAACAGGTGTTTGATTTTGGACTTGCTGGCTAGCCAGATTTTAGTGAATGAGTGAGAGCTGGGATGTCGGAGAATGGAAGTGATCAGTTCTAGCAAAGAGAGTACTAAAGAATCTTTCTCAACTCAGCTAGTGAAGTCCTTGAACCAGAGCTAGTTTTCCCTTCCCACCCTCTGTCAGTCTTTTCTGTTTAGAATGTAAGCTCTTTGGGGAAAGGACTGATCTCACTACATATTTGTACAGTGTGTTTTGGCCTCTGGGTGCCACAGTAATATAAATAATGGTACAGTACTCTCAATTTTCTTCTGATTCTCTATTGGCTTCCCTACTAATTCCTGAAATGGAGGACTCTGGAGAGGACATATCTGCAGTATAAATCAGAAAGATTTCCATCTATCACACATTATTTTTTTGGTACTTTTGCTGCCAGCTCATTTAAGTGACCTCTCAATAGAGGGGAGAGAAAAGGACACACTCCCGCACACACCTTGGTAATGGGCAAGTATAAGAACATGAACAGAACAACTATTATTGAATTAAATGATCACATTTGCCACCCTGTTCATCAGTAGGTGTTGATTTCCTAAGCAGTTCCAGTAGCAAATAAAAGCATCTCTCTGGGTAAATCCGTACTACAGCAACTCCAGCAGTATACCCACAGCGCTGCAGCTGTGCCGATGTAGCTCTGTAGTGTAGTCTCTTCCTACATTGAGGGAAGGGTTTTTTCTGTTGATGTAGTTACTCTCCAACTCCCTGAGAGATGGCAGCTATCTTGATGGAAGAATTCTTCCACTGACAGTTTTTCACAACCCTGAGTAATGTAGCTAGGTTGATCTAATTTTTAAACAATGAGAGCTGCGGGGGCAGCGCCCGCGGACGGACATGTCGCTGCTTGGGGAGAGCTGCCCAAGGTGAGCGGCGCCCGGATCCAGCACCCTGCGCCCCAACCCCCTGCCCTGAGTTTCTCCTACACCCAAACTCCGTCCCAGAGTTTGTGCCCGGCACCCCCCTCCCCCCCCGCATCCCAACCCCCAGCCCTGAGCCCTCTCCTGCATCCAAACTCCATCCCTCTTAGTTAACTGGAATTTTTCACTTACCAGCACCCCACATTCCCCCAGCATGCTGGACAACAAAGCTTTAGTGTAACAGTATTTGAATGAAATGGATAGATTCAAACAGCGTGGCCATCTTCTTTGTATACCACATGTACAAGAAATACTCTGTGTGTGTATTTATATAACTACACACCTTACAATTTAACAGGATACATGTATTTGTGATTTAATACAAAAATAATCTGGCAATATTATATACTTTACCTAACCAGCACACAGTTCAGAACATTCTATAGTAATTTCCATCCTATGGTGCTCACTTACAAGTGATGATTAAAAAATAAGATGAAGATTATTAATAAGTATTTATCTTCTATAAATTAAAAATACATATATAGATGAAAGTAAGATATTCATAAGTTATAGACTCAGTGTTCTTCAAAGTATCACAACTCCAAATTATGGCCTAGTGTAGTAAATTTTTTAATTGGATAATTGATTTGTACATATACATGTAAAACAATACTATACATATAAAATGATGAGGTCTAAATTAGCTGTTATCACTCAAGAAAGAGATCTTGGAGTCATCATGGATAGTTCTCTGAAAACATTCACTCAATGTGCAGTGGCAGTCAAAAAAGCTAACAAAATGTTGGGGGAATCATTAGGAAAGGGATAGCTAATAAGACAGAAAATACCATATTGCCTTTATATAAAACACGGTATGCCCACATCTTGAATACTGCATGCAGTTGTGTTCACCCCAACTCAAAAAAGATATATTGGAATTGGAAAAGATACAGAAAAGGACAACAGAAATGATTAGGGGTATGGAACAGCTTCCATATGAGGATACATTAATAAGACTGGGACTGTTCAGCTTGGAAAAAATACCATTAAGAGGGGATATAATAGAGGTCTATACAATCATGACTGGTGTGGAGAAAGTAAATAAGGAAGTGTTATTTATTTCTTCCTATAACACAAGAACTAGGAGTCACCAAGTAAATTAATAGGCATCGGGTTTAAAACAAAAGGAAGTATTTCTTCACACAGCACACAGTCAACCTGTGGAACTCTTTGCCAGAGGATGTTATGAAGGCCAAGACTAAAAAAAGAACTAGATAAATTCATGGAGGATAGGTCCATCAATGGCGATGGGCAGGGATGGGTGTCCTTAGCCTCTGTTTGCTAGAAGCTGGGAATGGGTGACAGGGGATGGATCGCTTGATGGTTACTTGTTCTGTTCATTTCTCTGAAGCACCTGGCATTGGCCACTGTCAAAAGACAGCATAGTAAGCTAGATAGACCATTGGTCTGACCTAATATGGCTGTTCTTATGTACATATAACAATAAACTAAATACATGCAGCCAGACATTTTTTTATTATTCTTTATTATTTGTATTATAGTAGCACCTAGAGGCCCAATCTAGATCAGGGTTTATTGAAATTCATGAACACGTTATTCACATTAATTTATGTTTACTAAATTGGTCTTCATTGTTCATCCACTGGCCTACAAGTAACTGAAGACTGGGTGTAAATCTCAACTTTTGATCAAATTGCCTTGCCTCCCTTCTGGACAGATGAATGAGCAAAAGTTATAGATCTAGAAAATGGATACTTGTGTGGGAAGTAGAGATAAATACCATCAGGCTTTCTGCTCATCCTGTTAAACACTTACCATGCTATTCACAGTGGTGTGTATATATATATATTAGGCTCTTTTAAATGAGGTTACTTTGGGACTTAGTCCATTTCCCTGATGTCATTTCAGCACCTCTGCTCCTTACTGGCCTTACAAAAGATTGAATTTCCAGTTGTGCAATTTCCAAGGTTTGTTTTCTCCCCACTACAAGATTCATTTGCAAGCCTAATAGCTATGCTCAGAACCCCACAGGACAGTGAACCTGGGGTGGAAAATTGCAAGTAAGCTCATGAACTTTCTATGAGTTGCTTCTTTGCCAAAGGGGGGAAACAAGTCAGTGCAGCTGCAGGAAAAATGTCTCCTCTTTATACTTACAAATCACATGTCAACAATTAATGTGATAGAGTGCTTTTTCAGTATTATACTTTGTGTAATTCGTTTATTTTTATTCAAGCATAATGTATCATTTAGAAGTTCTACAGAATATTAAGAAATTAGATGAAAACAAGACTTCGACTTAAATGTTTATTTTTATATCAATTGTTAGTTACAGAAATGGTTATGATTTTTTAAACTGTTTTTAAGGGCCAAATTTTCAAAAAACGACTTCAGAGTTTTGCATCAGAATATGTATCTGCTTGTGCAGTCAGCTGCATCTGAAACTATGGAGCTGCATTTGCAAATCTGGTAAGTGCATATATATCTGTGTTTTTCAAAGTTGGCCCTTCGAGTGAGTTTCTCTGCCAATGTGCCTCAACCTTGCTCTGGAGACCATTTCTAAGGGGAAGACTTACTTCAGCCTCTATGCCAGTTTGTGGCATTTCTCAGTTTGCCAAGGTAGGCACCAAATTGAGGGAAGAAGAGGCATGTGGAGAGAAGACAGGCTTCTTTTTTATGGCATAGATACATGCCCAGTAGGAAATGTACTGGGGCTACTATTTTGGTTATGCCTAGAGAAAAGCCTGGCCTGGAACATTGGATCCAAAACCACCAGCTTTGAACCATGGTGAAGCTCTAGCTCTGGATCCTGACGTGGTATGGATGTGAACTTTTCAGTTTGGTCCTACTGCTCTACAGGGAGCCTGAACTGGAACACCCCAAAATTTTAAATGTGAATTCAAGTCTAGATTGCAACACTGACTTAGACCCATTTCTAGTCCATACTAAACCTGGACCAGATCTTAAGCATTAATCTAAAGGTGATAGATAATGAGTTATCCAGTCCTCTTGTCAACAATGACTAGTATTGTAGGTCATTTCAATAAATATCAGATTAAGATGATTAATCTTTGATCTTAAGTATACTGTTTTTCTCTTTTTATTTCAAACAGCAATAGCTAGATGTGGCTTAACTTTAATACATTATTATGCAGTAGAGCATTATTTATGTATATAGCACTAAGGAAGTTCATGGCATGGTATAATGGATAGAAACAGTGTCCCTGCCCCAGAGGTCATAAAACCTTTTGGTATGAGTCAGTACAATACCGAACAAACAAAAAAGTGGGGTCTATAGCTGGTATACTTTCTGGAACAGATGGTTCTTCAAGAGACTTTTTGAAACAGAGTGAAAGCACTTGGTGAACATCAATGAAAAGGTTGACAGGTGTGCAGGGTAATGTGAAAGAAGGAATAGCCAGTAATAGACAAAGGCCATGTCTACTCTATAAACTATTGCCAATGCAAGTTACATAGTGGATGGGGGGAGCAGTAGCCATGCTATATCTTGATGTTAGCTAGACTTTTAACACAGTCCCACATGACATTCTCATAAATAAAATAGGGAAATGTGGTCTAGTAGATTAAATTACTATAATGTGGGTACACAACTGGTTGAAATACCATACTCAAAGAATAGTTATCAATGGTTCACTGTCAAACTGGGAGGACGTATCTCCCTCGGGTCAGTCCTGAATCTGATTCTGTTCAATGTTTTCATTAATGACTTGGATAATGGAGTGGATGGGATGATTATTAAATGTGCAGATGACAGCAAGCTGGGAGGTGTTGCAAGCACTTTGGAGGCTGGGATTAGAATTTAAAATGACCTAGACAAATTGGAGAATTGGTCTGAAATCAATAAGATGAAATTAAAAAAAAGGAGGAAGTACAAAATATCTCACTTACAAAGGAAAAATTAAATGCACAAGTACAAAATAAGGAATAACTAGCTAGGTGGCAGTAGTACTGAAAAGGACGTGGGGGTTATAGTGGATCACAAATGGAGTATGAGTCAACAATTTGATGTGGTTGCACCAAAGGCTAATATTATTCTGGGGTGTATTAACAGGAGTGTCATAAGACATGGGAGGTAATTGTCCCCTGAACTTGGCAGTGGTAAGGCCTCATCTGGAGTACTGTGTCCAATTCTGGGTGCCACAGTTTAGGAAAGATGTGGACAAATTGGAGAGAGTCCAGCAGAGGCAACAAAAATGATGAAAGAGTTAGAAAACCTGACCTGTGAGGAAAGATTAAAAAAACTGGGCATGTTTAGTGTTGAGAGAAAAAACTGAGGAAGGACCTGATAAGTCTTCAAATATGTTAAGGGCTATTATAAAGAGGTGGGGGATCCATTGTTCTCCATGTCCGCTAAGCTAGAACCAGAGGTAATAAGTATGCAGCAAGGAAGCTTTAAGCTTATATATTAGGAAATCTTTCTAACTATAAGGGTAGTTAAGCTCTGGAATAGGCTTCCAAGGGAGGTTGTAAAGAATCTCAATCACTGGAAGTTTTTAAGAACAGGTTGCACAATCACCTGTCAGGGATGGTTTAGGTTTACTTGGTCCTGGCTCAGAACAGGGGTCTGGACTAGATGACTTCTAACCCTACATATCTATGATTCTGTAAACAGAATTCAAACCTAGATATCAGAAATAAAAAGCCAGCAGATAATGTCTTGTGCTATGTATTTTTCTTTTCTGTAACTTGTGCATTTAAAAAAAAATAACCTTTACAAGCTTATACATATTTTACTGCCAAGAAGAGTAGACAACAACATGTGGTCCTGTGATAAAGTAACCGATGCCAATGTGATGAAAGTATTCTGTTCAGGCACATCTTAGTAGAGGCCCACTGTAGCTGTAACTGTTGTTGTTTCAATTTAATTTCTTATTGTTTGCAAAAATTGAGTTTTGTGAGGGCATCATATTATTTAGCAATTAAAGGCAATAAGCAGCTTTCTTTGTATTTTTTTTAAATCAGTATTCCTTTTTATATAAATGCAAGAGTAGTACATCAGTCTTCCCAGATGAACAATTGTCTGAGGAGAATAGCTACAGGAGACTCTTGCACTTCTGATTTGCATTTCTATAGCCCTTTCCATTTGAGGCTGTAAATGCACTTTACAAACAATAATACATTTAGCTTCACAATGTCTTGGTAATGTAGGCAAGCATTGTCCACATTTTATAAATGGGAATACTGAAGCACAGAGTTATTAAAGTCAGATTTTCAAGAGGAATCACTGATTTTTATTTTTATTTTGGTATGCCTCAATTCTTCAATACCCAATTTGAGAATTCTCTAAAACCACCCACAGTGTCATCAAATCAATAGCTGAAAGCAACATGAAAAACTTATTACAGGGCTAGTGCAACTTCTGCAGCCTCCTCCTATGTTTGAGAAGTGATAGAAATACTGTAGTTCAGTAGTTTAAGTGCAGATTTAGGACATCTTCCAAAAATCTCACTTTAGGTTTCATAAAGTTTAAGTCCAGAAGGGATCATTATGATCATGTGGTCTGACCTCCTGCATAACACAGGCCACAGAATTTCACACTGTGCGTCATGCTGATAACTTGTGGTTGAACTAAAGCATATCTTTTAGAAAGTCATCCAATCTCAATTAAAAGGCTAAAAGTTATGGTGAATTTAATATGTTCAAATGGTTAATTACCCTCACTGTTAAAAATTTGCATCCACATGTAAAAAATTGCATCTTGCATGTATTATCTTAACTGGTCAGAGCACTGTTAAAAAAAGCCCCATATATTCTTACACTTACAACATAATGTTTGTGTGATAGATGAAAAGCAATACAAATATTTTCTCCTTACCGTTGGTCTTCAGTTGTTTTAATTTAAATGGACAGAAACAAAAGGTGAGGAAAGACGATTTCTGAGATATTAAAAGGTCTTACAATCTGTCTGAACAATAAACAGTCCTCAGAAGAGAAAAGAACCACATAATAGAGTCCACCATAAACAATCTCTCTCAGATCTGAGAAGGTTAGGCCCTAAGCCTGCCAGCTGATCTGTGTGGACAGATCCCTACATGGACGTGGAGCCCTATTGACTTCAGTGGATATCTACACATTCAGTTCAGATTGCAGGATCAGGGCCTTACTGAGCCCTGGTCTACAGTGGGGGGGGATCGATCTAAGTTACTCAACTTCAGCTAGGTGACTAACATAGCTGAAGTCGACGTACTTAGATCTACTCACCGCGGTATTTTCACTACGGTGAGTCGACTGCTGTCGCTCCCCCATCGACTCTGCCTGCACCTGTTGTGGCGCTGGAGTACAGGAGTCGACAGGAGAGCATTCGGGGATTGATTTATCACGTCTAGACTAGATGCGATAAATCTACCCCCACTGGGGTAGTGTAGATGGGTAGTGTAGACATACCCTGGGTTACATTCATCACCTAGGTTCTATCGGCTTCTATCCAGGTCTCCTGTGAAGGAAAGTCCTCACAAAGCTAAGAGCTGGTCTATGCTGAAAAGCCACATCAGCATAGCTACATCCCTCAGCTGTGAAAAATCTACACCCCTGAGAGACATAGTTAAGCTGACCTAGCCCCTGGTGTACACAGCAACCCAACTACCACCTCTCAGGGAGATAGATTACCTTCAGCGAGGGGAGATCCCCTCCCATCACTGTAGGGTCTACACTGAAGTGCTACATGGTGTAACACAGCTGCAGTAGCATTTTAAGTGTAGGCATAGCTAAGACTGCGAGTCTGTCAGGGAGGTCACAGAAGTCATGGATTCTAGGACCTCCGTGACTTCTGCAGCAGCTGGTGAGTCTGGCCTGGGGCTGCCCAAGCAGCTTGGGCAGCCGCTGGGCCAGCTGCACCAGCCACTGCTGGGGCAGTCTCAGGCCACACCCCCAGCAGTAGCGGGGGTCTTGGGCTACCACACCCCCGTCTCCCCTGATTTATTTGGGGATTGGTCCTGCTTTGAGCAGGGGGTTGGACTAGATGACCTCCTGAGGTCCCTTCCAACCCTGATATTCTATGATTCTTCCCACAGCAGCAGCAGGGGTCGCAGGCCATGTACTGTTGCATGCTGCCCCTCCCTCCCAGCAACAGCGGTGGTCTCAGGCTGCACGCCACTGCACCCCCCCCAGAGCACCCCAGCACTCCTCAGCTGCAATCCTGCCCCAGAGCACCCCAGATTTAGTAGGGTATATAGTACAAATCATGGACAGGTCATGGGCTGTGAATTTTTGTTTACTGCCCATGATGACTTTTACTAAAAATACCCGTGACTAAAACGTAGCCTTAAGCATAGCCTGAATCACAGCAGCATCAGGAGCCTGCAATTCCATGCTCAGACAAAGCCAGAATTGGCCAGTGTAGGGCATAGAATAGAATTTGAAGTAGCCAGGGTTCAAAGCAGCCCTTTCCTTGTGAAGGGTAGCATTGACACTGTTGCCTACCATACCCTAGGAGTGTATTCCTGCTCTGG